TGCTATTTTCTAGCAACCTCTAGGCCCCTTAATAATAAATCCCTATTTGTTTGCCCAGCTACTTGGGTTATCTGTCATTTTCACCTGAAATCATTTCTAACCAATATGCCACATTACTGAGTTTCTATATTCCAAGGTACTTACTGAGTTTCTATATTCCATAGTGATGAGCACTGCAGGTAGAAGGAACAGTATCTGAAAAAGCATAGAGGAAAATAAGTCTATAGTATGCTCCAGGAAACAGCTCAGTGTTTGACTATAAGTGGGACTGACACAGCATAAAGGAAGATTGCCGCCATTTTGTAAGGGGATTGCTCATACTGCAGCTTTTTTAATGGGATTAACTTTTTTAATGGAATTGCACATATTACTGCTTCAGGAGATGTCTCCTGCTTTTTGAAATTGAGATATAATTTATACAATAAAATGTAAGTGTACAATTCATTGAATTTTGACAATGCTGCATTTTACTACCACAATCATGCCCAAGAATATTTCCATCACCTCACAACCTTTCCATGTGCTCTTTTGTAACCCATCCCCCACCATTTCTTGTTCCAGGCACCCCTTGATTTGCTTTCTATCACTATAGTTTTGCCTTTTCTAAAATTTGGAATAAACAGACTATTGAGTTTCTAGCTTCTTCCACTTAGTATAAGGCTTTTGAGATTCATCCTTTTATGTGTAAAGTTGAGGTATTCCATTGTATTGTTATCTCACAGTTTATCCAGTCACCAATTGATGGATCTTATGATTGTTTTCAATTTGGAGCTAGTATGAATGAAACTGTTGTTTCAATGAAACACTCAAGGATGTGACTTTCTCAGGATATATGTTTTCAATGGTCTTTCAAGCTTACTGAAAACCTAGATTAACATATGATCATCCATCCATGAGTGGATTTAAATGATTAAAATTTTTGAGTGACAACAAACTATACAGTCAGAACTGATGTTCTTTGCAGAAGAGAAAAAGCAAAATTTTGGTCACATTTATGTAAGTTTATAACTCTTTAAAACAATGACTATTGAGTTACCTGACTTCCTGAGAGCTATTAGTTGAAAAAATAACCCTCTGTAAAGATGTTTTTGTTGTTTTTCTTTAAACCTTTTTAAAAACACATTTAAATTTTTCAAACATCCTCTTAAAGGCAAATGTTTTCAGGGAGTTTGTTTTTATGATTTTTTTCCAAATTTTAACTGAAAGTAATGTGAGATTGTTAACAGATTTTCAGATAACCTTTTTTTAATTTAAAAGACAAATATATTAACAGCAAATGCTACTTGATTAGGGATCAGTGATGTTTAGTGTTGCATTATATATATTCATTTATATTCAAGGTGGGAAACATCAATGATCTTGACTTCATTTCATCTGGTCTATGACAGCCTTTCTAAAATTGTATGTCTATTGATCTTTCTTACCCTGTTGTCAAAATCCACAAATAACAGTTGTACAAATATTTATAAGTTCCCCTGGTGATTACAAAGACCTCATAACAACAGTAAAATTTCAAAGATGTGCAAGATTTACTAAATCATCAGTCTTCGTGGGAGGCAAATTTCTGCAGTCAGTCAACAGATAGTTCTTGAGTCCCCACTATGTGTGTGATGATACTGTTCTGAATCTGGGTACCATTCTACCAGGTTTCTGACAAGTAGGCATTCAACAAATGAAAGTCAAAAAAGTGTTGAAGTTTCTGGCAGATCCAGAGTCTGGGCACGTAAGGAAGGAGAGGCACTGCTGAGAGTGTTCAGGAAGTTACCACGCTGGTGAATGTAAGGGAGATTTTAACCAGCTGTACCAGAGATAGCTTGCATGGATTCCAAATCAGATTTAGAGGTGGGGTCTGGAGATTTGAGTCTGCCACCCCCAAACCCACTTTACCTGCTCAACTTTACTGTGCCTAACTTTAGCCTCCTATAATCCCTTTTATGTATTTTCTCTCTTCCTTCTTTTTAAAATATAGTTTATAACTAGACACAACTATAAGATTTCATAGCCAATTTAGCTAAGAGCTGTAAGCATATCTTTTTTTTTTTCCTGCTGGAGTCTTGCTCAGTCACCCAGGCTGGAGTGCAATGGTGCAATCTCAGCTCACTACAACCTCCACCTCCTGGGATCAAGCTATTATCTAGCCTCAGCTCCTGAGTAGCTGGGATTACAGGCACCTGCCCTCATGCCCAGCTACTTTTTGTATTTTTGGAGATGAGGTTTCACCATGTTTGCCAGGCTGGGCTTGAACTCCTGACCGAAGGTGATCTGCCTGCCTCAGCCTCCCGAAGTGCTGGGATTACAGGCGTGAGCCACCGTGCCGGGCCTGTAAGCATTGTTTTTAAATCTCTGCTCTCTCTTCTTATCTCTGGCTTCTCATTCTCCAGCTTGCTTTCTTCTTTCTTCCCCCTTTTTCACTTATCACTTTCTCTCCTTCATTAACTGACCACAGGATGACAGAAAACTATATTTTTAATGTTCCAGGTTTCTTGGGAGAAAATGTTTATAATCCATGGCAAAAAAATAAAGCAAACTAAAATTAAGCTGGATGTCATGGCACATGCCTGACTATTCATGAGGCTTGAGGCAGGAAGATCCCTTGAGCCCAAAAGTTTCAGGGAATTACCACGCTTGGGCAACATAGGGAAACCTTATTTCTAAAAAAGAAATTAAAAAAAAACCCTAAAATTAGTTACTAAGTTCTTTTTATTTGTATGTAACCCCTGATATATTTTTCTTAGTTATATTTCCCTTCCTAGGAACAAAAAAGTGTCCCATTGATTTAGACATTGTATGAAATAAATAATAGGGGCATTGTGGTAGGCAGAATTGTTAGGTGGCCCCCATATTCCTGGTTGCTGGTATGTACATACCTTCTGTCAGTTATTTAACCAAATACTAATCTAGGTGCTGCTGTGAAGAGATTTTGCATACGTAATTAGTTAACCTTAAGACAAGGAGACTATCCTGGTGGGTCTGACCTGCATGAGCCTTTAAATCTGAATCTTGAAATCAGAGACAGAGAAGTCAGATTAGAAATATGGAAAGGACTCTGTGTCCTTTCAGTCCACTTAAAATGGACTGAAAATGGAGGGGTGACATGGCAAGGAATGCCAGCTACTTCTAGGAGCTGAGAGTGGCCCCCGGCTGATGACCAGCAAGAAAACAGGGACCTCAGTTCTACAGCTACAAATGCAAACTGAATTCTGCCAACAACAATAAAAAATTAATTTGAAAGTAAATTGTTCCCCAGAGACCCCAGATGAAAACTTACCCCAGCTGACACCTTGATTTCAGTCATGCCATGCCAGACTTTCGAACTATAGAACTTTCAAGAACTTGGATCTAATTCATGGGTGTTGTTTTAAGCTGTGAAATTTGTGATAATATGTTATGCAACAGTAGAAAACTATAAAAGCATAAACAGTATGTTTTATTGAAAGTTTTTATCTTTTTTAATTGACAAATGATAATCGTATGTATTTATAGAGTACAATGTGATGTTTCAGTATATGTGTACATTGCGGAATGATCAAATCAGGCCAATTAACATTTCTATCACCTCACATACTTATTACTTTGTGGTGGAACATTTAAAATCTACACTTTTAGCAATTTTGAAATATACCACATATTCTTATTAATGACAGTCACCATGCTGTACAATATATCCCCAGAATTTACCCCTCCTATCTAACTGAAACTTTATACCTTTGACCAACATTTCCCCTTTCCCTGTCCCTCCCCACCTGCCTCTGGTAACCACTATTCTACTCTTTATTTCTATGAGTTTGGCTTTTTAGGTTCCACACATAAGTAGAGATCATATCATAGATGTCTTTCTGTGCCTGGCTTATTCCACTTTGCATAATCTCCTCTAGATTCACCCTGGTTGTCCCAAATGACGGAATCCTTTTCTAAGGCTGACTAGAGTCCATTGTTCATAATATCACATCCATTCATATGTTGACGGGCGCTATCTTGGCTATATCATGATGTTTCCATATCTTGGCTATTGTGAATAATACTCTAATTAACATGGGAACTCAGACATCTCTTCAACATACAGATTTCAATTTCTTTGGATATATACCCAGAAGTGGGATTGCTGGATCATATAGTAATTCTATTTTTAGTTTTTGAGGAACCTCCATACTATTTTCCAAAATGGGTGAACTAATTTACATTCCCGCCAACAGTGTACAAGGATTCCTTTTTCTCTGCGTCCTCACCAATGCTTATCTTTCATCTTTTTTATAGTAACCATTCTAACAAGTATGAAATGATATCTCATTGTGGTTTTAATTTGCATTTCCCTGATGATTATTCATGATGAATCACTTTTATATATCTACTGGCCATTTATATGTCCTCGTTTAGAATTGTGGTGTGCTGGTATGGGATACTCTTAGAAACATGGTACGGTAGTATAAAGTGAATGACATCCCATAGGGATATCTATGAAATTACCTGTGACATGCTAATTTCTGTCAGTTTTTAATCTAGCATTTTGACCTAATTAGCGAGCTGCTGTTCCTATTTTTTAGATCAAGTATATCTACCTATTGCTCTCACACAACCTGTTACAAGCAAAAGGTAGTGTCCATTTTGAACTATCAGACATGTTGCTGTTACTCTTAACCAGTGGAAATCAAGCTTGCTGGTTAGCAACTTTACCACCTCTAATCACTACATCCTTTTCCTAAATGGAACAGAAAAGAGAAGGTGCAATTTTTTTTTCTTCCAATAGTTTTATTAATTCATGTTCCACCGCCACTGGCCTCTTAATATTTTTATTATTGTAATAATAGCGGTACTTTTTTTTTTTGGCCTTGAGACAGGGCCTGACTCTGTCACCCAGGCTGGAGTGCAGTGGCGTCATCTAGGCTCACTACAACCTCTGCCTCTCAGGCTCAAGAGCTCCTCCCACCTCAGCCACCTGAGTATCTGGGACTATAGGTGCATGCCACCATACCTGCTAATCTTTTGCATTTTTTCCTGGACCTCAAGTGATCCACTCGTCTCAGCTTCCCAAAGTGCTAAGATTACAGGTGTAAGCCACTGCGCCTGGCCAAAAGCATTTCTTTAAAGACATCATGGTATCTTTGTATACTGAAAGAAATTAGAGCCCCACCCCTCTTCATTTCTGTAACTCATAAGGAAAAGAAGAATATCAACTCTTGTGGAAAATAATTCAAATATTTCAGCATATTCTTTTACAGCCTCACTTTCAATTATCTTATTAAACACCCTTTCAACATCTTTTTCTGAAGAACTCTCCTCCCAAATTTTACATCTTATTAAATAGTAGGTGTTTATTTAAACACAGATATTTGGTAAACATTGATTCCTTAATTCGGCAACTAAGAACCTATTATGTGCCACAAAAATACTGGTAGTGAAGCAATGAATGAAAAGTACCTCCTCTCATGGAATTTGCAACCTAGTGAACAAAGAGAGAGAAGAGAAAGCAGGTTGAGGGGCATAATGAGTGTCAGAGGTTGGAGAGGAAGGGAGCTTGCTATTTTATGAGTGACTAGGGAAGGGATCACTGGTCAAATTACATCTGAGCAGACCCTGGAAGGAAGTGACAGAGTGAGCCATGTATTCAAAGGGAACAGCTCTCTAGGCAGAAGGACTAGCAAGTGCAAATCCCTGAAGCAGGAACATACTTGTTTTGTTCAAGGAACAGTATGAGGCCAATGCAGCTGCAACACATTAAACATAAAGAATTAAGAAATGAAGTCAGAGAAGTTGGAGGTGGGGGGAGGCAGGTCATGTAGAAGGAACATAATCTGACTTTTTTTTTTTTTTAATGATGCTGCCTACTAGTTTGAGAGTAGACTGTGGCAGGGAAACCAGTTAGAGTGCTAGCAGAGTAATCTAGGCAAGGGGTGGACCATTTTAATAAAGCTAGAAGTTGTGGGAAGTGGTCACATTCTGTAACTAATTTGAAGACAAAGCCACCAAAATATGCTGGTTGATTATATATGGGGTGTAAAAGAATGAGAAGGATCAAGGATGTGTCCTAGGCCTGAGCAACTGAAACAATAGGAATTGATGGGAAGAGCTGAGAGGTGAGGTTTGGGGTGAAGAGTCAGGAGATCAGTAATGGGCAACCTTCAGTTTAAAAGTGATACAATGATAGAGGAAGAGAGGGCATGCCGCTGAATTTGCCAGTTTGGAAATCAGGAGAGAGGTCCAGACTGGGGATAGAGAGTTCTGCGTCAAGTATGAATAGTATTTAAATAGAAACTGGTTGAGATCACCTAACGAATGTAAGCAGGAAAAGAACAGAAAGGAAGGACAGAGCAGAGTTGACGAACCAAGACTTGGAGCAGCCCAAATTTTAGAGATTGGGGAGATGAGAAGAAACTAGCAAATGAGCAGAGAAGAAACAGCCAGTGACAGAGGAGAACCTAGAGAAAGCTGTGTCTTTGCTGTCGAATAAACTGTTCCAAGGAGGCAGTGATCAATGGCATCACATACAGTCATAAGTGAAGGAAGCTGAGGACTGAAAATAGACCTTTGGACATAAATTGACAAGAACTGTTTTAGTGGCATGTGGCAAATGGTAGCCTCACTAGAGTTGATTTAAAAGAGAATAAATGGGAAGAGGGGAATTGAATACAAATCCATTTTTGTAAGGGTTTGTTGTAAAGTAGAACAGAGAAATGGAGTAGTAGCTGCAAGGAAATGTAAGGGCAAGACAAAGTTTTGCTTTTAATTTTTTTTAAGATAGAAGATAATTACAATTCATTTTTATGCCCATAGTAATGACCCAGTACAGGGAAAGAACACAGATGTTGGGGAAGAAAGCGGACAATTGTTAGATTGAAGTTTTGAATAAGTAAGTAAGATGAGAGGATTGTGTGAGGTATAAGCACAGAGAAAGGCAGAGCATGTGAATTGTTAGTGGATGTTGTGGTGGGAATCTAGAAGTTCTCTTCCTGCTGCTTCTGTGTTCTCAATGAGGTAGAAGCAAGGTCATCAGCTACAAGAGGATAGGGTGGATGTACTGAAAGTTTTTTTTTTAAATGAAGTACACACTTATTTTATATGAAATGTATTATGAGATAACCAGTGAAAACTATCTCTTACCGTAGCAAATTTAAAATGTTTAGTTTAGCACTTGATGTACAGTAGATGTCAAAAAAATGTTTTACTGTAAAACAAAATCGGGATCACATTTTCACTTAGATTTGTGAAATGAAAATCCATTATTTCATCCAAAACAATTCTATATAACTTTAGAATTTCTGGAGAAATGTGTGTATGAGATGGGGAGACCTTTAAAAATAAGAAGTTGGGTTGCGGAGAGTCAGATGTGTTATTCACCATTACTCTCTACATGGATTAAATTTATTAGATGACTAATCATAAGCAAAGATTGTCGGCAGAACAGAGTGTGAGAAGATCATTTCATCCTATTATTCAGCTCTCTCTTTAGGCTGATCTCACACTCTAGTGAGGGAAGCTTCAGCAAGTTTTATGTTGAGTTTCATTAGTGCACAGAATAAAGCCTGTTGTATATTATTGCTTTTAAGCAAAACAAATTAAAATGTCTTAGCCCAGATCATTCTCCCAGCATCATCTAATATAAACACCCAGAAACAACTGCTGGTGAAATCCCACAATCTCATCTTCACTCTGGGTTATGAGATGGGAATTAGCAATGTAACAAAAAACATTTAAACTGGCCCCTCAAATGTCTTTCCCTCAGAGTTCAAGGAAGTGACTTCACAATTTAACAGAGTGTAAGAAAACTCCAACTGTAAAAAATACTGAATTTTGCATCTATTGGGAAGTAAATGCAGAAAATTAGTGTTGTCATTTCCCCTTCTCATTTACCAGTTCCCGGTGTAGTATATGTTTGCAAAAAAAAATAGTAACAGCCAGATAAAGCAGACTGTAAACCACCAAATAACCTCTAGAAATTTCTTTACAGTGTTGTCCTTTCAATATATTATAGCTTTTCAATTGCTGGATAAGTGACTTCTAACTAGAAATAACTCATATTTAATTACGTTAACATTTTAACTTTTGAATTTGGGATTCACAAATTGTGTAAAATTACATACGTATATGCATCATTTGCTTTTTTTTTTTAATCAAACAACAATGATGTATCTAACCAGGTGGTAAAGAAATCAAGTCACAGGTCCAAAATCATATTTGTTAGTATGCAGCATTTTTGCGCGGCTAATATTAAGCAGTGTTAAAATCGTAATTCAGAAAATATGTAGTTTTTCAATTATTTTCTTATAAATTATTTTTATAGTTGAAATACTGCATTATTTGGTTATTTATAGGTGACAACCATCTCTCAGTATAATAGATTCCTTTTCTCATAGAAAAATTAGCTAGTAGTTCTTGTTAAATTGGCACTGTAGTTCAGACCTACGGATTAACTTGTGCAATTGTAAACATGAAATGTCTCTAAAATAGACTGCTTTGTGTTGAAGCCTAGAAATTATTTCAGTTCCTTTTAAAAGATCATTGCTCCGGATAATAATGCACAAATTGAGATGTTGGGAATCTAGTTTACCTTTTTGTTCTTCAAAGTGTTAGGCAAAAGTATTGTTTGATTGTTTTAATTTTGACTGTTGGCAGTTCAAACAGCAGTTAGGGAAAAGAAGCAACACCACAGTGGTTAAAAGCATATGCTCTGGCATCCACATTCTTACATTCAAATCATGACTGCACTATCAGCAGTGTGACAATGGACAAGTTATTTAAACCTCTTTATCCCTCAGTTTCCTCTCTGCAAAATGAGGTTAATAATACTATCTATCTCAAATTGTTGTGATGGTACAATGAATTAATAATATTTATAAACTACCTAGAAGAAGGTCAGAAAGAGTAGAAAGCTCTATGTAAACATTTGATAAACATAGTTTGTTGTTAGAGCAACAGTTCTTTACATCTTTGGAAGCTGCTATCAGTTTCATGTAATCATCAACTGGATAAAACAGTATTGCTATCCTCTGAGTTTTGGAACTTCTTGTGAAATGGGACCAGGAAGCTAAGAGATGGGTAGTGACAGTAATATGTTTGTGCTGGCTTCTAGTGGCTTGCAAGAATTTTGTGAGCCAATTGTCAAACATAGTCATTATTAATAATTAAAATATTTAAGCTGAAAATTGTATTATATTAAAAAAATGATAATAAATATTTTAAAAACAAACCACTTCCTGATTATTTTCCTACATTTTACTATTGTCTTTGGGAATTGTATTGTATCTGGGAATACCATGGTGTATTACTATGCGTTTCTTCCCATCTCTGTATTCCGTGACATCACATTGGTAGCTCGAATCAGTTTCGGTACAGTATTTACACTATGAAACTGAGCAAATGTTGCAAATCAAGGTTTGCCCTCACCCCTAAGAGCTGTTTGTTAAACTTTTACTTACCATTACACTACTGGATCAGGGTCAGAGTGTCCCACTAGTTCCTGTTATTCTTTTGCTGAATGTTATCATGAGTAAAACAGAGACTACGTTGAGGAAAGGATTGTTAAAAAAAAAAAAAAAAGCGCTTACACCTTAATGAAGGTTTCCCCTATAGATAATTTTTAAACATCAAACCATAAGCAATGAAGAAAAAGCCGTTCATTTCATTACTATCAATAACAATGATCTCCTTTTGTATAGCATTGTGTAGTTACATATTATCTGATAAGAGTATTATGCTAACGCCCTAAGCTAGAATGGTAGCTATTATAATCACTACTATATAAATGACAAATCTAATTATATAGAAATTTCAGACTCCATAAGATTATTACTTTCCCATGATTATTCAACTTGCAATTGAAGAACATTACATATGGATTCAGATTTTCTGACTGCAAATCAAGTGAAAATTCCACTTACGAGATGAATGTTATATTCTTTAGCAAAGGCTTATTAATTGTGAGTTAGAGATATCTCCCCCAACACCTCCCTTCCCCACTCCTTCTGCTCTGCTCAGCATGTTGGATGCTAAAAGTTAAACGTATTTGATTTTGTAACAATTTTGTAACACTAACAAATGTTTTTCAAATCCTTCTGGCTCTATTATTATAGTATCTTTATTTAATCAGCTCCCATTGATATTTATTTAGATTATTTATAATTTTTTGTTTTTACAATGAACAGTCCTGTCAGTAAAGCATATCTATGGGATAAGTTTCTACAAGAAGAATTGCTAGATTAAACTATATGGAGATCATTCAACATAGTGATGAATGATCTCATGGTGATGAAGAGCCTGGGTTCTTTCCCCTGCTAGCTATATGACCTTGGGAAAGTTATTTAAACTTCCTGTGCCTCGTTTCCCTCATTGCTAAAATAGGGATAATAGCAGTACTTCTCATAGATTCTTTGTGAGGATTAAGTGAATTGGTACATGTATGATGCTTACAACAGTGTCTAGAATCTAACCGCTCAATAAATGTCAACTCATTATTATTGGCGTTGAAAATTTTAGATAGATATTTACAGGTTTCTCCTCCTAAGTGTATTATACTTGATACTTCCATCAACATGAGAATGACTGTCTCTTCACACCATCAGCGCTGTGTCTTATTAAACTACTTGTTAATCTTTGCTAATCTGGTAGATGAACATGGTATCTGATAATAGTTTTTATTTCTCTAAGCATGAAGTTAAACATATTTGCACGTGTTCATTTGTTTCATGTCCTAAATGTTTCATCTTTTGCCTATTTTGTTATTTGTTATTGACCTTACTATTGATTTGTAGAAATTCTTTCTGCATTAGGGGGTTCAGCCTTTGTCTGTGCTATGACTTACTCTTTCATTGTATTCCATACTTTTTTTTATAGAACTTATTCCTATTTTTAATCATGTTCTTATGACGATTTAAAGCTTCATATGATCAAGGGTCATGTCTGTTTATCACTGTATATTAAGCATCTAGCAAAATGCTGAACACATAATAAAGGATCAATAAATGTTTAATGAATGATACGTGGGCCAGATATGACAAAGAAAATCTTTGATACATAAATAGACTGAGAAATTAGACAGGAAACTATTTTGTCTGGAAAGCTAATTAGTTTGGTTTTGGATATGTAGAGTTTTAGGTAACAGCCAGTATTCAAAGTTGAATATGTTTAAGACTATTACTTTGGCAAGATACTCATGAAGATTTTGGAGCCATCACTGTGAAGTTGTTGATTCGAAACAGATGATCTCTGATGGAAAGAATGTTATGGGAGGGTTCATAGGCAATACTTCTAATCAAAAACAATTTCAGGTGGTTATAGTCATAACATTTTCAAAACAAATATGAAAAGAAAAAATCGAAGCATTGTATATTTCCAAGTATAAAGATATGGGAAATGTAGGAATATTTTAATATTTGGAACAATAATGATTATTGAAAAGTATTTAGATAATGTTACAGTTATAGCCAAATCACTTATGAAGAAATGAAACCTTTATTCATGGAAAACTGAGTTCATCAATAAGCTTGTGGAAATCATAAGTGCTATTTTTGTATAAGATAGGCTATTTGGCCGGGCGCGGTGGCTCAAGCCTGTAATCCCAGCACTGTTGGAGGCCGAGGCGGGTGGATCACGAGGTCAAGAGATTGAGACCATCCTGGTCGACATGGTGAAACCCCGTCTCTACTAAAAATACAAAAAATCAGCTGGGCATGGTGGCGCGTGCCTGTAATCCCAGCGACTCAGGAGGCTGGGGCAGGAGAATTGCCTGAACCCGGGAGGCGGAGGTTGCGGTGAGCTGAGATTGCGCCATTGCACTCCAGCCTGGGTAACAAGAGCGAAACTCCGTCTCAAAAAAAAAAAAAAAAAAGAAAAAAAAGATAGGCTATTTGTGCTTTTTAGGTTTTAATTGGACAGTAATTGTTTTCTATTACTGAACTATAACTGAGAGATTAATTACTATCAGTTTAGTCTCTAAGTCTGTCTTTTATATAATAGATTATATGAAATCTATATGAAATATAAGAAACTATTCAATCTCCTAAAAAGAAACACTTATTTTCTCAGAACAGAGAACATTTTAAAAAATAAGTTATAAATATTATTTAATATCCAGGGATATCTTTATGGTTGTAGTCATTGAATAACCATTGTGACTTAAATGTCTATGAATTAGTACCTTTATAAGCCTGTTATAAATTTATAATTCTTGCTTAATAATTGTAAGGAAATAATCAAGGCAGAAATTCTATTCTGATGGTACAGGGAATATGGTAATCCAATGTTAATTTCGATTTTCAAATGATCCTATAGATTGAAAGATACTGTCTTGAAAGTGTCCAGTTTTCTTTTTTATTAAAACATATCTGTAACTTAAGAAATTAGAAACAGATACAATTGTACTTGTCAGACAAATTGTTTAGCAGACAAAAATTGTAGTCACATAACTTCCTACTTTACTTTTAGCTGCCTTTGTCTTATTGATTGGAAATCCTGGCATTGCTGAGCATTTTTGTCATTAAAGCAAAGTTCTTAGATACAGTCATCAGATTCTTCCCTCCAGGTGAGGGGCTTGTCAGTGATCTAAAAAAAGATGCAGAAAGTGTGAAGGCAGAAAATAAATCTACTTGAACTGGTGCAGCAGAGCAGTTTATCATGGCACATCTGGCTGAGCACGTGCTGGCAGTGGACACTAGAGGAGACGTATAGTGAGAGTCACTCAGGGGCCTTTAGGAAGCCAGTGACCTGCTCTCAGAAGTGCTTATTTTCTACTTATAATAGGAACATTTATTCATTAAGAGAGAATAGAAACTCCAAGGTGGCCTGTGTTAGTATACAAAGGAAATAATTACAGAATTTTTGCTCAAGGTCATGTACAACTTGTGGTAAAAGACTGGAAATACACACAATGCAAAGCATATTTCTTGTTTTTCTTAATTAGAAAAAATCATCCTTAGGGTTGCTTCTCAAAGACTGTTCTCAAGAAGCAAATGGTGATAGAGTAAGGTTTTATTTCATTCAAATAGTTACTGTTAAGCCAAGCGCAGTGGCTCACACCAATAATTCTAACACTTTGGAAGGCCAAGGTGGGAGGATCACTTGAGGCCAAGAGTTTGAGTCCAGCTTGGGCAACATAGTGAGACCTGGTCTCTACCAAAAAAAAAAAAAAAAAATTAGGTATGATGGCACATACCTATAGTTCTAGCAACTTGGCAGGCTGAGGAGGGAGAATCACTTGAGCCTAGGAATTCAGAGTTGCAGTGAGCTATGACTGCACTACTGCACTCTTGCCTGGGCAACAGAGAGAAATCCTGTCTCTAAAAACAAACAAACAAAAATAGCTACCATTTCTGCACTTTTGCTCTGCCCCTTGCTGAGACTTAGGGGAAGGAAGTCAATGATTTGTTGTTAAAGCTCAGTTACTTTCCAGAGAGGTAGGCTACCTGAGTTGTGACAAGCCAATGTCAAAGAACTGATCCAAAAGGTGAATTAAAATCCTTAGCTGTACCTGGATGGAACAGAGGAGCAGAAACCACTGTGTTCTAGGAAAGTACCCCACAAAATCAGAATGTAAGAGAATGTGGCTGCCTCAACTTGGGGCTGTTCTTTTTGGTATGATGAGGGGCAAAATGTACTCATTACAGAAATATGGCCAAATATTGCTTGCTTACGTCAATCCACATCTCTTTATAGCTAACTATTCTCAATCCCATTACAGAAATGGAAGCTAAGTTTAGCAAATTGTTTGGCCGTTTATGTTTAGTGCATACAATTTTTAATTAACAAAGTAAAATGCCACAATCCATTGTAAATCACTTTGCTAAACTTTCAAACTTAGTAAGGAATTTTGTCTTGTCCAAAAGCTACTTTCAAACCCCTGCTGATCTGGCACTCATGTCTGATTCCCTGTGGAGCTGAGTGAAAGAATGTAAAGTGAGCCAATTAAAGAAACTTTGAGCCAGAATAGACAAGCAGAGGCCATCTTGTCCATCCTTCTGCCTTCAGGCAAAAACCATCCGCTGCAACACAAATTTTTGCTTGAATCCTGCTGACAAAAATGCTCACCACATGTAAATGACAAGTCATAATCCAGTTATTGCAACTAAAGCAGATTGTTAACTGCTCAAGACTTATTTATTGTGTTCTAAAGATGCTGAGTATGAAAGCTCATCTGAATTGTCTTAATTCCCTTTCTAGAAAATTATTTTGTACAAGAAATGTGCTCAAATAATTGTAAAGATGGGGGAGGTTTGTGTCCAGGAAATAAAGTTATCTTTATCATCTTATTAAATATATTTTTGGTTTCCTTTCACTGTAGGTTTACCTTATGGGTGGGAGGAAGCTTACACAGCAGATGGAATCAAGTACTTCATCAAGTAAGTACAAGCATCTCAACCAAGTAAGCAATTTTCTTCACATCTGGAGAGAACCTGGAAGTTGCAGAATAATCAGTAAAACTAAGAAACCTTCTTGGAGGTTACAAAAATTAGTAACAAGAAATGAAGCCTCACCATTTTCATTTCATGTGATTTAAATGCTAATATCAGATATCATTTGGTGGAAAAAACCTGGTAATAATTTCAAGGGAAACATGAAAAAATTGGAACAGGATCATCATTTGAACTTAAATGCTGGCTGCCTGCACTTGCTGGCTAACAGTATTAATGTTTATGAAAAGTTAATACCTAACAAAAATATCCATTTTGTATATCATTAAAAATTCTTAACAATAATACTAATAATCAACATTTTTAATGCTTTACAATGCACACAATTCATTCTGCAACTATTTTTTTGAGCATTTGCTGTTTGCCAGGCAGTGTTCGACGCCGTGGAGATATAGTGGTAAAATATATAGACTGGTTTCTTGATAGCATAGAATTTACATAACAGAGAGGAAAAACAGACAGTAAATGACTTGAGATAAACAAGACAGTATATGAACAAACCTTACCTCAGTGGATTCTCAGAACAACCTCTTGAGGTATGTGTACCTTATCATTTTTTTCTATTTTATAGATTAAGAAAATAAGAGCCTTCAGTAGTTACCAAAAAATCTATCACTACTTAATTACCAGCCAGAACTAGAATCAAGGTCTTCTGACCCCAGTAATCTACTACTATACTAGTGTGTCATTGATAAAGACCCATCCTTGAAAGCCTGAACAGGGATACATTTCCTAGATGCTGAACTGATTAGTTTTACCCTGGACAAAGCACTGTGATATACTTCTACCATTACCTGAAAATTCCTTTTATGTCAGAATTGACATTATGAGAGCACAAAAGGGAATCCCAACAGACTCCTAAGATCCCAAAAGACTCCTTTGTGTGTCCTTTTAGCAAAGTATACTTGGTATGCATTTTGGAAGGAAAAGGGAGACAATATGCAAATATTTTACGAAACAATATCCAGATTTTAGATTTTCACGTCCTGTGACTTTACACAATTCCTAAATTTCTCCTAATCTCAGATTTCACATCATATAATGAGGGGATTATTATCTACTTTATAAAGTTGTTTAATGTGAAGCACCTAGCATGGAACTTGAAACTCAGTAGATATTCAATAAAAAGCCATCATGAATTTACAATGTGGAGAAACCAACGTGGAGGGGGAAAAAAAATCCTAAACAATCAAGTGACCATTGAAAACATTTAGATTTCAAAAGCTTCATATTTGAAAAAGTTTAAGGAAAAACTAGAGATAAACCTGGCAAAGTGTTTTAATGCTGAATTTTTTTCTTGCAATCTCTAGCAAAAAGTGATTAATCAAGCAAAGGTGTTGTTTATTACATGTGAAAGAAAAAGGAGCTTTTGGCACAGGGGACCCAGGAATTCCATGAAGATTACATTTAGTACCACACTCTACTTCCAGAATCAGACCTCTTCTGGAAGGGGCTCTTTCATATGCCGGGTTCATTATGTTTAGTTTCTGGAAGATTTGAATCTCTGTACTGTAGGAATGGAAGGAAAATGAAAAAAAACATTCAAATCTGTGATGAATTTCTTTCTTTTTGATATTAACTTTGTAATTTATAAAGGAAAAGATGAGGGCATGAGCATTTACTGAGGAGTAGCTTGTGCTTAATAGCCAGGAATATGCTAAGTGTATTTCTCTATGTATTATGTCATTTAATGCTCTTAACAGTATGGAAAGTAGGTGTTGCTGGGCTCCTGTTGGAATGGAATTATGATAGTGGTGAGCTGCATCTTGCCCCTAGCCATGCCTTTCTCCTAGAAGATCCCCAAAAGAAATGCATGATTAAAAGAAAGAAAATTAGCATTCATTTTTAACTGGGGTTCTGCATTTAGAGGCCTTTGAAAAATGTCAGTAAATGAGTCTAGACCCTGTGGGGAACTCCTTTACCTAAACTTAGCTGTTTGTCAGTATATCCTAACCCAGAGATGAATGTCAAAATCTAACTAGTGCCTGAAGAGAAAAGAATACTAGTGGCACAGTTACCCTAAACATATAAGACAGCAGGAACAAGAGATGGCCAACCAGAGAGTTGGTTTGTCTCCTTACACTGCTTCCCAGCTAGCTTAAGCCACTGTTCTCTGCAGACTGGAAATGGCCTTGGGCTGGACTCCCACTATAAGAGAGAACAGCGTCCTGGAAGGGGAGAAAAAAGAGAATCAATAAGCCCTTTGGCTGCCCTGAGAACTAACTCAGTGTCTGTGAAAAAAACAGAAGGATGCTACATTTATCCTATCCCCATTCCTTCACTCAGAAAATATACCCCCAAGGGGTGTGTTTTGGAAGTTGACCAATTTTTTTTCTTTGACATTAGTCTTGACACATAAGGAAAACAGAAAAAGAGATGATAAGATGTCTTACCATTTCATTAGGAGAAACTGTTAAAGAGGCTATACTTGTCAAGATCGCACAGTAGTAAAATTGCAGAGCCAAGATTCAGATCCAGAGTTGTCTGGCCCCTGTACACACGTGCACGCACACACACACACACACACACCCATGCCACACCACCTCCATATCCTTAAGTTAATATAGTATGCTAACGTGTAACAAGAAAGACACTTTAAAAGATCTCAATTTAGGAAGAGCTGTATACTTTATTTTAAAACAGCAGAATAGAAACTTGATTGTAAGAGTAAGAAGTTGTCTTCCAGAGATTAAAAAAGTCAAACAGTAGAAATAAGAAAATCTAACAATATACCATTGCTTCTTTTACTCAGCCTCATGAAGGAATGGGGTGCTTGGCATGAGTTGGATTTTTTTCTTAGAACTTAACCCTATTGAAGCACCAAAACTTATTTTAGTTTAACTGTTCTTGATGAAAGTCTTACTTTAATATATGTAACACACATCGCTGACTTCCTATACAGAGGCCAGTGAACAAAATCCTTGTGAACATCCATCATTATACACAATACAGCGACTTCTACAGGGGATATTAAGCTGTATAAGACAAAGTAGAGACATAGCTGTCATCTCTTGCTGCTCTCAGTGTCCCTGTTCCTCCCTCATGCCCATTCTATTTTGCCCCCTCTCCACAAGCCACCTTCTTTCCCAGCTTTGTATTTGAAGAGGACAGGATGTTAGATAATGAGGCTAATTTGAACTGCTTGTAAATAGCCCTTGAATGTGGTTCTGCAGGAGTGCTTATGTAAGTCAAGGATGATACGTAAGTTCTGTTGCAGGTGGATTTGATTATAAGAAGGCCATCTGGTATCTGGGAAAGAAGAACATGGGCTTTGGACTTGGAGAAACTTTAATTAAATGACAGTGTCTACACAAAATAGCTGAACAAAATAGCTAAACCTTAGGCACATTTATTTAACCTCTCTGGGCTTAATTTCTACATTTATAAAATGGAAAGTATATCAGCACTTCTTAGGGTTTCTGTCCAGAATGAATGAGCTTGTGTATGTAAAGGGCCTATCATAGCACCTGGCCCAAATTAGACACTTTCAACAAAGGTTAGCCCTTTTCACTCCCTCTCCTTGCTTTCACATTTTGGTGGGAGATTCTTCATGGTTCATAACTGCATTCAACTAGATGATGTTGCCAGGTAAGTAAAGTTTGCATTTGCAGACATCTACTATATGTCTTTTTTGGAACTATTTAGTTTTGGGTTTTGATTTGTTTTTGTTTTGTTTTAATCTTCATTGTCTTACTACCCCATCAAAAATTTTGAGTCTGTATAGCTTGTGTTAGCTTTTGAGGTAAGTGATTCGTTTACCATATAATTGATACTTTGAAGGCAAGAAATAGTAAGTAATGGACTCAGATCACTGCTCTCTCACCTCTACTTGAAAATAGTGACTGAAATCACCCTCCCAAAACACCGAAAGAGATGATGGTCTATATATATATATATATATAGTCTCTTCCCTGAAATTGGCATCTGTCACTGCCTTCCCAGAAATTGAATTGTTACATCTGATGGAAGCCAAGCCTCTGGCAAGGGAATAACTGTCACTGGTGTCCTAAGAATGTCCAGATGAACATAGTCCTCATTGAATATTCCTGCCCATCCACATGTCCATCACACATATATTAATACTTTGTCATCTACTTAAATTCTGATGCAATAGAAGAAAGCATTTTACCTAGGATGAACAAATTTAATCAGCGATGGCATTGCTACAGCCAATGTTTCATAGAATTAATAAACATATATATCTGTGTGTGTGTATGTGTGTGTGTGTGTGTATGTTTGTGTGTGTGTGTGTTTGGGTACCAATGTGTATATGCATATATGCATGTGGGCAGAGCATGCTCATTTGCCTCATATATATGTAAAAAAGAAAATACATTATTTATATAGTTTAAAAATGTATCTGTGCATTCTAGGAAATTTTTTCTTATTTTCTCCTTAAACAGAGAGTTGCAACATTCTTAAATTTAATAACAAACTGTCCATGATCTTGAGGGTGCTATAATGAAATTATCTGATTAACTTGATTCATTTTTCTACCCAACTTCTTATCTTTTACCCTTTGAAGTTATATTCTGTTACAGATTTATAGTAGCCTTTGGTATGATTCTATTTAAAAGTTCACATGCTTTATACATACTATGTAATGTAACAAAGTTATTATGAGTTATCGAGTTTGTAGTAAAACTGAATTTATGACAAATTAGACATAGCTGCAAATTGCTTTTTTGTATTCTTTTATCTTTCTGTTGAAAGATTCAGATTCACTGTGATTAATGATCATACTTAATTAACTCTATATCTGCCTAATAAATTTCTCCAAAATTTTAGCTTAAACCAATATGTATTTTCTTACCCAGTTTTAGAGCATTGTGAATCCAGGAGTGGCTTCACTGGATTTTTCTGGCTCTCTCACTTTCTCTCTGGGTCTCTCATGAAGTTGTAGTCACTCTGTTAGCTAGGGTTGGGAC